TCATCGAGCTATATGATAACTTACACAGGCGTAAGCTCATTCAAAAGGCCCGCGCTGGGTGTCCAGGAGCCCTCGAGGAGATTTCCAAACTTCTCACAGCAAGCAACTATACCCTCGACGTGCTGGATGCAGCTTTGATGCATCTCAGCATAAAACACCTTCCAAATCTCTCTTCGCCTATTCCAATTGATTCCCTTCGCCTTCCCCGAGTCGTATCAGCCATTCACGTCGTCGATAAAGCTCTTGGGGCATGTCGCCGAACGTCAGAGCTCAAGGCTACGACAGTGTCCCGTGTGCGGGAGCATCTTGATGCTATACTGGCCTGGATGTTGCTCGCTGTCACCCAGATAGGCAGTCACGCAGCCTTCACCTCTGTCGGGATCACTCTTCTTCAGTTGGTCTCTATCGACGCCGATATCTTCCTGGTATTCTTCTTGTCACCACACGCGGCGAACCTGATCTTGACTCTCTGGAAGTACCAGCCGAAGATGGACGATGAGGTATCTGACTATCGGCAGACTCTCTGGGTACCTCCCATTACTGCCTTGGTTCACGGCTGGATCTCGCAAGAAGAGGGAAACCACCCCTTCTGGGACACGATCCTGTCCTCGAAGCAACAACTTTCTACGTTTCTGGACGCACTCTTGTTCAAACTACGGCGGCTCGTTGATCTCTTGCACCGATTTGAGATGAAAGGTGGGATTTTTAAGAAAACTGTAGATTCTCTAATCGCTATCTTCGTACATCTTGAGCGGCGAGCGGTGCCATTGGTCAAGAAGCGGCTCTTCTGTCTTAAAGAATTGGCAACTGTTACATCAGCGTTTGTCCCTCCTTCGATACCCAGAAGCGCATTTCTCGAGAATTCGGCCTTGGTTCTCCAAGTAGCAAGGTCCCATCGCGTATTCACTCCCATTGTCGAATCTGGTCTTCTGGAAGCTCTTGTAAAGGTATTCCCCCTCTGTGACTGGGAAGGCGAGGCGCAGATTTGTAGAGGGAGATTCATTATGGCCCTCCTTGCGTCCAACTGTTGCCATGCTCGAGGTCTCAGCGAGATAAATGGCGTTGTTTTACCTCTGCTCGCGAACCCCAAATTGAACGCAAAGGGCAACTCGTGGTACTGCCTAGCCGACTCAGTCTCCCGGAAGATGGACGTCTTTGCAATGCTGACGCTCGACATCCTGACATGTGACAACATATCTTGTGTGAGCTCGAGTCCTGCTTTCTCCTCACGTATACCTAGGATTGATACATTTTGGTAGCCACGTAGTACCCTGACCAGTGGAGGATCGCCAATGGTCAGGGTTTGTAGTGGGTGTAAATTTATGACCTACTGCAGCACCACCTGCCAGAACGCCGACTGGAAGGCGAGGCATCGCTTTGAATACCCTGAAATACGATATATATCGCACAGTGAGTCGAACGGTTAGCGTCTCCTCCCTTTCATGATGCTTACTCTCATCAAAGGGCCCCATAGTCCCATTCGAATCTCGCAACGCACCAAAGCCTTCCACCTCATGCTTGCCACTGAAGCGTTCAACGACCCTGCCTTCCAAGCGTTCTGCGTATCTCAAAAGCACTCTGTCCCATCAATTGACGACGAAGGCATCCTCGTCGCTGCTCTCGACATGACTTACCACGACTTCCCCAAGGAGACATTGTCAATTCAAAGATGGGACAAGTGGCTCAATAGATCGTACAACAAAGGTATCTGTCCTGTGTTGGAGTCGCGTGTCTCGAGCTTTGGGCATGAGATGAAATCCGGGCGAACGAACGAGAGTGGTTTCGGGATTTCAGCCCTGGAACTTGAATTGGAATGGAACGGCGAGCATTATCTGTCATTGTTGGTTCGCTTCAAAGAAATGGAGGAGGGTTTGGCCCTTCCCGCACAGAGCGTTCTACGAGTTCTGTGAGTTCACCCCTTCGTCGTATTTGCGGTGAATACTGATCCACTGTGAAGGAAAAGAGAGGAAGGCAAAATAATCTAAAGAACGCATGCCGAAAGACATCCAGTTACCCCACAGCAGTACTATCTCAACATCTACTTTGCATCATGTACCGATCACCTCTTCAAAATTCAGTTTCCCCAACCCTCAATATTTTATTCAGTCTCGTTGCCTTATCCATTACGTAGGCCATTATTTCGCTCGAGAGCGAGACGAGGACATGAGGTGTATCACGACATTGCCATGTGTTGAACATGACAGAGACGAATCTGGAACCCATTAGTTCTGGATAGTGAGGAGAGGAGAATTTTAAGATATAAATACCAGACCGATAGCAAAGGTCAGGAGGTATGTACGCTGGCTTGTGTAAAGACAAGCTTCGATGGACGTGTTTTCCATCGAGATTCGACAGAAGGGCGAGTGGGAGTGCGCGTGGCGTACGCCTCGTGTAGCAGCTAACTTAGCTTGCGTTGTCTTGGCAGCCCATGCTTAACAAACACCAATTAAAAATCGATCCAAGAGTTACTGGATCAAAGCATCACAGTGAAAAACAATCGATGGTGTAAAGGTTTTATAGCCACCAGCGGGCGAACCTGCATGCGTGACTGGGACTTTCATCACAATGTTAATGTTCTGTTCTCGTCGGCCTTCCGTCTCGGCCACGGATCCCTTTGTTTTTATGACTCGGAAGTCATCCGATTCTGACATGAAGCAAAGTTGACACCCACCGGTCGCGATTAATCATCCAGAGTGACTTAAGTAGCACCAGCTCAGAGGCACAGAGGCAGCCAGGATGCAGTGAAACCAAGATGAAATGCATTGGTTCCGCAGAAGAGACGATGTGTACTCTAATCGTCCTAGACCTTGGCCTTCTTCTCGTTGTCGGCCTTGATGCCCCTCCACCAGACGAGGTGGACCCGCTGCAAGTAAGCCTTTGAAGATGGCTCCGGTCGACAAGCGAAAGTCATAGATTCGGCGTCTGAAGCTACACATTCCACCAATTGCCATTCCCTCACAGCTAAAAGTGAGAATGACCTACCTCAAACACCGTCAACAGACTCGAAGTCAGTCGGCAGATGCGCCTTGGTCACCTTTTGCCTACACGCGACGTGGAGACTGACAGCAACGACATTTAGGTACTTTAGCCCTTTGGTAAACGGCGAGAGTGTAGAGGTGGTTGGCAGCGAGGGAGGCCAGTTCGGAGAAATGTATAGCGCTGGGAATTAATGAGATCTTGTTGTTGGCTGGGAAATTGGGCAATGTGGGCGAAGCGAGTGAAAGCGAGAGGGGAATTGTCAGGATTGACTTGAACAGAAGAAAGGCAACGCACCATTCTGAAATCGTTGGTTCTCTAGATTTGATATTGCCTCGAATTCCATGCTAAGGCTCAATCACTGTCGCGTGCGATCTGTGTGCCTTGGGATAGCATCTGTCATGTCCGTATGACAGTGCTTATCGAAAGGGCGATATCGATCCCATCACAGTAAGACGCGATGAAACAACGCTGAAAGGAAATACTCACTGGCACCTTGCGCGGCATAGCTCCCCTGCACCATCGCAACCCAATTACTCGTCTCGCCGAGTTCAATCCCATCCACAGACAGATTCTCTTTAACGACCGTTCCACAGGCGACCCGTTCCCTGCGGCATGGTTGTGCTAGATGACGGTCCCTGCGCATGTCTGGCAGACGGTCTGGAGGGATAGGGAAGTTATTAGCATCTATTCAAGCATTCTAGGTTGTGCGATATAGGTTCTCTGGCTCCTTCGGTTTCAGAGTCTCAGCTCGCTCCATGATACGCGTTTCTCACTGAGCAACCCCGCCCAACGTATTCTTTCTCCAAATGGAACAGGACGCACCTCTATACGAACATAGCTTCTCTTCAACGGTCTGTGATCTAATCTGTGAGCGGCACGGGGGGTCATCAAGGCGAAGCGCGCGTCAACATTAGGGGCAGCAAGGTTCGAGCCATCCTGGCTTAAGTTCCCACTGCGTCATCCAGCTTCGATAAAATTGATCACTCTTATTACATGCTTATCGCCTTGCTCTGTTTGTAGATATTTGTTCTTGCACTTTTCCGCTTGGGCAGCGCTTTTTCCTGACAGGAAAACTTTGCTGATTTTTGTCTAATCACTAGAAAGCTTGATTCGCTTTCGCTGTGCAAAAATTTAGCCGCTCTTTTCGTGTTGTCGACGCTGTACTGCACAAGTCTTTCATGTATGGAAGGGCTTGGCGCACTCGGTTCACGCACGACGGTACTTGGACCACAGGGATCCGCCCAACGACAAAAGAGCTTCACCTTAAAGCTGTCAGTCTAAGGACCACCGCCTGTTCTCGCAACGCATCACAATCCGTATACCATTTGTCGTCCCGCGCTGACTTGGTTTATGGCGAACGTGATGGGTGAGGTCGACCTCAGCTTGGCAGCGAAACGACTTGCATTGTGCCTTCCAAGTCAATGTTCACGTCGAATATTAAAAGTTTATTGGCCAAATTCGAGATTGGATTCAGCCGCCGTAGCGAAGCGAGGCGAGATTTGTCAAATCTTATTGCTGGGCGTCTATCAATCGCATTGACCGGCTCTCCTCGCATTTTGCCGCATTGGCTAAAGGGCCTCAGAGTCCCAAAAATTGTCCATATAATTCATTTCTCTCATGTACGTGCAGTGGAGCCACGCTGGAGAAAAATATATCCACACAACACTCGTGAGCACCAACAGGGTGAACGACTCCCGGTAAACGCAGAACTACGGTGCCATTCGCTAAGCCCAGTACACCTTGTACCTCCCAATCGTAACGTAAGTGATATGAACAACTTAGCCTCAGGTCAACATTCGATCTAACACGCGGCACGCGCTCAAAAAGAAGACTTTTAGATCGCTTCCCTACGCCTACTAGATAGCTCATCCTGGACTGCCTTTTTTTGTTTGGACATCTTATATTCTCAGGATATACTGTGTACTCCTTGAAAGTCTAATATTTGCCGTTATGCAAGAGTGAAAATATCATTTCTCTCATGCCAGAACGGAAGTGTAAAAGGTCTTTTCCTGGAAGCTCATTGACACCAGCAGGACTTGAACCTACATAAGCGAAGACATACGTTGGAAAACCGGAGATTTAATTCCTTCCGCTACCTTATCCGTTAGGCTATGGTGTCTTGCCGTACGTCCTAGGCTCACGTTCCTGTACTCCTCCAGCAACGCAACCAAGAAGCGCCTTGTGCCAAGTATGAGGCAGCTTCAGATTCAAAGGGCCTAATGTGGTATCTACTAATGGGAAAGCAAAGGAAGCGCATGCCAGCGTGCTTTATATCCCCGCACAGCGCTTGTTCCCCTCCCTCTCGGAGCCATTTAGCAAATATACAAAACACTGCTGCCGTCGAAGTCCCATTGACACCGGTAGGGTTCAAACCTACATAACTGAATCAATGTATTGGAATTTCAAGTTGGTCAACATTTCTTCTTTGCTTTGTCCATTACTAGATGGCGGTGTCATGGTTCGAAATACAACTCTATTACTGGTCAAAGAAGGCGAAACACCTCGTGTATCTCTCCCTACTCTTCGTCGAAGTCTCGAACGCGATCAAGAGAAGATGCATGGCGCCTTGTGTCGTACTTCCTCTCTCCTCCTCCTCGGCGTCACTGATTGTCTACGTTATCTTACTACCATGAGCACCCTTCCGAATACAAGTCTGAACGCAAAGTGATTGTGCAGGGGAAGTATCTGAACATGTGAAAGTCTAATACGATCAGATTCTTCACGTTTCAAGAACTCCCTCCCATCCACAGCAGCTACAAGCCGTCAAGAGGGACTTGTAGTTGTCAATGTCTGGATCCCAGTGCCCTTCCCACCGAACAGGCCGTTCCTCGCGTATAGACCATGCCTTGTCCAACCAGGATTTCCTCGAGAAGCCAGCGACTTCCATGTTCAGCCGTGCCAACTGAGCACGCTTCTCGACACTGAATGTGGACGTCCAGCATTCAACCTGATACCCGTATTCATCCTCCCATAAGTTGTTGTTGGCTAGGTTTGATTGGAAGAGGATGATGACCTGGATTTTGTGGGTGGTTGGCGCAGACGACGACGACGCTGTAGAATTTCTGTGTCTGAACGTCTGTAGCAGCCACACAAGGGTGGACGGGAGACCCCTGGACAAATTGCCGTTTGGCATGACGAGTTCGACCAGCTTGAGCTGGACCAAGGGCCCCACGGCAAGGTAATCGACCACTGCACCTTGGATAGTAGCTGGTCCCAGATGCAAGCAGCGAAGATTGGTAAGAAGAGATGAGACATTGGTGTAATATAGGATTGCGCGGAAGAGTAGAAAGTTAAGTTGGAGGTGGGTGATGGAGGCAATGTCGAATGGTTTTCCGTCGTCCATGAACATCGATCGCCACAAGTTCAAATTAAGAAGCCCTGAAAGCCTCAGGCTTTCCAGACGAGCAACGTCATCAGGATTCACAGTTGCAAGCGGTGGATCAACGTAGCTCTGCAGCGGAAGAAGGACGAGATGTTTGAGACCTCTGGGCGACAGGCGCACCACCATGTCGGCTGAGATTTTGTCAGCTTTCCAAAGGAACGACTCCAAAGTCTTCAATTCTTTGATCGCATTTGGTAAGTCCGTCTTCATAGGCTCTGTCGACATTTCCCGAGAGCCATTAACAAGGTCAAGCTTGATGATGTTTGAGAAGATGCCGGAGAGAAGAACCTTCCAGGCGTCCAGCTTCAGATTTGGCCCCTCCTTCAAGCTAGTGCTGGGCTTGGAATGAAAGCTAGGGAGGATAATCCGCAATTCCTGAACAACAGCCGTAACCTCTGGGGAGCGGGATGCCAGAACGGCAAACGCTTCGGGGTTGGTTACCAATCCTCTCGTGAAAGGTGTAAAACGCCTTTCGCGTCTATACACCGTAATTTTCCGGTACAAGAGAGGGCGGCAATAGCTCTCTAGCGCCTTGCATGTGTGGGAAAGGCCAAGGAGTCCAAAACGACCGCTACCCTTCCGCAGCGTCTCCCAGTGGTCGTCAATGATCTTATACAGGATCTCCAATGGTAAACGGGGCTGAAAGTCGGTTGTTTCGCGTTTCAGATTTTGATAGTGCATTATTGGAGATCTACAGGGCCCAGTGGCGTGACGTTGAGGGGAAAGGAGGCAGCAGATTTGGCTCTGGAGGGGAATCGAGGTGCAAGCCAGCGCGAACTGAAGCGACAATTTCTATTGAGAGCCGAAAAGGAGACGTCATTCAGTTTCCATCCGTCGATCCACGAGATAACCGCAGCTCTTACCTGGCCAATGCCAGCAGTGGTCATAGTATTTGCGCGAAGTGAAATGAAACAACCCCTGGCCTAGACATCGAGCGCATCTGAATGCGGGGAAAGGGCGCACGAAATGCCAATCAAAATCGGACCGATCAGGAACTGAAGCTAGGGATTCAATGGCAAGATAAGACCCCATAAGAGGTAACTCCCTCCATGGCATGCGACGAGCCGGCGATGAACATGAGACTAGATGCACCCATCGCAGTCTCCATGAGCGGTCTTCAAGACGAAGCAAACGATCTTTTGGAGAAAGGGGGAGATGTGCTCTGGATAACACTTCTCTAAGATCTAGCGAAAGGGAGATCTACGGATCTACGACGCTAGTATGAATCGAACTCACATCAACAATGAAGACTGGGATCCATGTCATACTATGGCTACTGTCTTTGCCTTATCCATTAGGCGATAGTGGTATCCTTCGGTCATCCAGCTTCCCATCTCGACGCGTTAGGGAAGCGTTCCTAAGCCCTTCTCTTCCCATTCTGATCTCAATGCGACGATGAAGTGATCTGAAGGACGCCTCATGCAAACCGCGCACTCGAGGTTCCTCCACTGGAATTGCCTATCGAGACCGGGCGAAAGGTCACGATTTTTGTTGGAATTGATATGAACAGACATACATGCCCATGCCAACTGGGTGTCACCCGACAAGGCAGTCACCCAGTGCTGACCATGTGCCTTGAGAAGATCCAATCATCCACCCTCCTCAGGCTCCAGATCACAAAGGCCTCACCTCCATCACCCTTCCTTCTTCCAGGGAAGGTGCAACACGACAAACGTGTCAGTGTAACATTCGTCTCAGATTTATCAAAGGCGCTGCTACACATTCCGCCTCTACTCGATCGATTTCCGTTGAATGTAACGAGAAAAAAAGGTCAAAAGTTTTGGGCCATCAAGAGACTGACACCAGCAGGACTCGAACCTACATCGACGAAGCAAATACCGGAAACCAAATTCAAACGTGCTTTCATTGCCTTACCCGCTCGGCCATAGTGTCATTTACTCTGTACGATCGTTAGTATCTCCGTCTTGTGCTGAACTGGGAATACGCCTTGGGTGCTGCACAGCGATGTGCTTTCCAATACACTATTAGAAGGCCTGAGAGTGACCGGGGATTACTGGTGGAAGAACCGCAGGTCCTGACTGACGACATGAGATCACTGAATATGGCTACCATTATTGCCTTCCATGCCGAAGCCTCATAGCATCTTGGCTCGGATTCAGATCGTCCTCCTGAGTATCGAGCGTCAACCAAGGGGAAAGATCAGACAGTTGTGGGTGATCCATACGAAAGGAGATGGTCTGTACATTGAGGAACCGAAAACAAACAGAGCCGGCAGTAAACGGGCAACCGTGGATCGTCGACGGTCTTTGAAACCGTCCTGTGCGATCCATGATGGAATTAGACTCCGCCCAAGGTTAGCGTATATCATTCGGAATATAGCCACCATTTCCTAGTGAGGGCGAGATGCCACTGTTGTACGAGAAGAGGTGCTCTGAATGAGGTGAGGACCCACAGGGGGAAATGAGCCGGGAGCATTGTCGATCTCAATGCGCTGTCTGCCCACTCTGCAACGCTTACCCCGGCTCCACGTTGAGTGAAACGCTGCGCGCCAACTCCCAGCCTTTCGTCCCCTTGTGCTCCTGATTGACTGAGCTTCCCATCCCGTCTCCGCCTTCGCTGACGGTGTGCTCAGAGAGAACTCGACGAACACGGGCTAGTACGGTTCAGGTCGAGTGTTTTGCGCTTCATCGTTGAAGCGCTGTGGCATGTCTTCAATTTGGATTGGGGAGACTCTGTCGTGTGAAGAGCAAGGGGGAATGGTCGATGAAGCACTACACGAGAGCCGGCCAGTGCAAGCCATTGCAGAAGATGAGGCTACCTCGATCACAGGCGAATGTAGCCTAGTAGCCAGCAGGGAGTGGCAAAGTCAAATCTGAAACCATTGGCATACGCAGGTCCTGAGCGTTAAGTGGGCAGGGCTCTTGATGAATCCAGGCAGAAGGCGTCGTAGTATAGGGCACACGCAGCCAATTGATCCCCGTTCCCTACCACTTATTGACGCGTCGATACCGCACCAGTTTGCAGTGGATAATGACGTTTGGGGAGTGAGCGAGTGGATACCGCTAGTTGTAGAAAACGAATGTAGGAGGATATGTCGCTATAAACACGTGAATGTGACAGAAAAAAGGCGAGGGCTCGGAGCACGCACCGTCCACTCTCCTTATGCGCTTCTCGTCTCATGGCCACGCACCTCGTCATCCGTTAAATTCAACCATCCTACAGCCTAGTAGGCTCCTCCTTCCTTCTAATCCGGGGTGATATATGAGGAGCAGGCAGTGTTATCAAGTTACAGGTGCGTGTCGAGATGGGGGAAGGAAGCCAACATGTAGGAGCGTGTTCGGGTTAGGTGCACGCTCATCTTCGCGGAGATAAGATTGATCACATCTTATCATGCAGGCGCTTATTTCTGATGAAGTGACGGAGTCCTCCAGACGTCTTCGGTACGTGTCAGGGATCGTGCTTTTACTTGGTGTTAGTACATATTAAACAATCACGCACCCCCGGATTTGCCTGCTTGGCCGAAAGCCTCGATCGGCGGTGTCGTACTAAAGATGGCTGAAGGAAATACCCACTAGTCCCCACCGTATTTTCCGTTCGTCCCACTTACACATGCTTCTTATCATCCCGTCATATGAAGTGTCTTTCAGAGCTCTAAAATATGCACGGACAGTCAGAAACGAGACTCTGTACAAGGGGGTAAAAAATTGGGGTGCGAATATTCCGTCCGGCTATTGACACATGTAGGACTCGAACCTACATCAACGCTCCCTATAAGTGCTGTTTCTTCCACTCCCCTATGGCGCTATTTACTATCATTCAATACATAGTAATCAGATCAGAAGGTATATCCAACCTCGTGTCAGCGATGTACCAGGCACTAGGCCAACTGTCCATTCAGTCCCAGGGAGATGAATCGATCATAAGAGCATTGGGATGAACGGAGCCTAAAAATGCCGATATTGCATCGAAAGTCGAAACGTACACCAGTAGGATTTGCACCTACTTAAGCAAGAGCGTCCTCCAGCCTTCAGATCCCGGATCCCATTGCTTTTGTCGCCTTGTCCGTTATACTATGGGCCTAGTGTCATCAGATTCCGTTGTGTAACTTCAACGCCCAATCTTGGTGATCATCGATCCAAGCTCGGCGACATGCATTGAGTGTGACCGTAATGTGTCTCGCCTCGCTTTGTCGTCGCATCTTCAACCAAGGGTAATGGCCGAATGGCAATCCAAGCTCTACCAAACGCAACTCCTTCTTCATGCCCCTCTTATTCGGGTGGTCATTCTGGTGGAGAAAAAAAGGGGCGAGTGTCGCAGCGACAAGTTCTACAGCCACTGGCAGGATTCGAGCCCACACGAGCGAATGAAACTCCTATAATTGGGTAATGATGCTCTCATCGCCGCCTTTCCATTTTAGCCGTGGCGTATTTCTGCTCATACCGCGTAATTCATCGAATTGTGACATGAAGGGAAGCTATCGGCTCGAGGCCGCTGGCACTCACCATGCGTCAATCACGCTCCTGAATACCCTCAAGGTTTGCACTCAAATCCGCGTAACTCACCTGCAGAATTTCCGTATCAGATGACTACTTGAAGCTAGTACTTCACCCAGGTAAAGCTCCAGTTCTTCGATGCCAACAACCGCCAAGTATTAAATAGTCCCAAAAATATGGTAGAGTGTTTCACAGTAACACCAGCAGGAATTGAACCTGCAAGAACAAGGTAATCACTGGCACATTTCACATTCACGTATCCTCGCTGCCTTAACCATTCGGCCATGGTGTCTTTTATGAAAGGCGAAGCAAATGGATGATCACGCTATGGACACGGATACGGGCTGATCAGGATGGGAACATGAATGAGAATCATACCAAGTACCACTGGTCCTGAAGAGCCCGTTGCCTTCCCATCTTCGCGCTAAAGCCCAGGCACTTTCTTTCGCGTTCTCACCATCCCGAGCCATGTGGGGAATAAGCGTAATAAAACTTAATCCTACAGAATTCATCGGTACCAGCAGGACTCGAACCTGCATGGACGAATCAAATTTAGTGTCGAAGGTAGTTAACCACTTTGTTTCGTGGCCTTGCCAACTCGGCCATGGTGTCTATCATTCCTGCTCTCACGGGGCTCCATCCAGTGATTCGATGGTCTTTAAGTTGAAGCACATTTCAAGGGCCTTGAGCTAGAAGCCCAGTTCTTTCGCTCATGTCAGATCAATCGTGTCTAGCCTAATCATTTGCGACGCGTGTCAGTTCTTTCCTAGTTCCTCTTAGCTCAAAATTTCGGAATTCCATAACTGAAAGTTATAATAAAGAAAAGCACCGCTAAACAAATTCAGGCTACACCAGCAGGGATTGAACCCGCATCGATGAGCTAAATGAAGCCAACCTGAAGATTCAAAGTCGTCGACCCCGACCATTTGACAATGATGTAAAGTACTGATCAGAGGATGAATCAGGCGAACTTCTACTCTCGCGCTGCCACGAGAATCAAGTTGAAACTTGAGACAGAAGTAAAATGGACTCGTAACCGACCATCGAATGAGGAATTAGGCCTGGGAATCCCTATTTCTCGCTCATAGGTCTATAGTAAATTAAGCGCGCGAAAATTTTGTAGGATTTCGCATAGATTCCAGCTTTAAAAACAAGTACCATTTACTATTGGTTGACACCAGTACGACTCGAACCTACACCCACGTGTGAAATAACTTTCCCTATTCCTTCTTATATTTCCTTCACAGCTTTATCCTTTAGACCACGGTGTTATCCCTTAGCCTTTTACATTCACCAGGTCCAAGGGTATCGGATGCCCCCCTCGTGCTGACCCCCGCGTCTTAACAAGATTCAATCTTCTATCCTTTTCTAGATCCCAGAATCCTTGCATCCATCACCATGCACCATTCTAAATAAGGCATAAAGGCCAAACGTTTCAATTTAACCCTCATCTTTCAGATTATGGAACGCACTGCCCTACATCTCGTCTCGACTCTATCAAGTTTCTTATGCACATACGTACTACCAGGGTAGTGGCACCAGTAGATTCAAGCCTACATAGTGGAGAGTACTGGTGGTAGAAGTGTTACTTGTAGATCTCACCCATGCCATGAACCATGCCCACGTCTCAAGATCTTGCGTCGGACGGGAACTTCTTCCCTCCCACATTCTCTGATTGTGATCCAGAGAGCGCTCAACTTTGAATGAACTTCAGATATCTAGTAGCCTGTCTTCTTGAACGAAGTACCACGCGGACTTCCTAGACATTGCTGACAAAAATTTGACCTCTTTAGAGCCGAGTGGCACCAGCAGGATTCGAACCCACATGAAAGAATCAAACCACTCCACTATCTTGCATCCAACCTTGTTGCCTTGTCCATTCGGTCATGGTGTTGTTTGACAAGTTGGCAAGGCCACAAGCTTTATTGCCAGTGTGAAATTGCCCTGTGGTGACCACGCACGAGATTATGGGGACAGGATAAATGGGATTGTGACTAATTAGGAGAGACGAAGGCTCGAGAAGTCAGCTAGCCCAACGAGGAAGGTGCCCTCTGAAAGTTAGTATCAATTATCGGTCTGCGAGGGATACTTTGAGAGGTAGAAGCGAACCTTCTCACATACGCAGCCAAAGGAGCAGCGAGATGGCAGTTGAGGTGACCAACCGTCTTGGAATCACAGTAGCGTTCGAGATCTGGATCTGTATATTGTCACGAGAATAGAGGGAAAGGGAAAACATGGAAGGAGCAACACCTGTCAGATGAGCTTGGCGTCTGCAGATGTGTCTTGATAACCCAGACAGGTTAGAGCAAGGGAAGAAAGAAAGAGCATGGCGACGTTGGGGTTGGGGTTGGGGTTGGCACTTTGAAGCAGAGACCTCCAGCATGTTGAGCATCGGGTTCGCTTGAAAGTGATCATCGTGATCGCCTAGATGCATGGATGCCCAATGAAGTGTCCGAAAATAACATTGCACTTTTGAATAGAGAGATATTCAGGGGGAAAGAGGAAAGTGTCCTGAATGATCCATAAGAGAGGAGACACCTACAAACTGAGAAAGTCAAGGCAGCCAGAGCCGATACTAGGTGGGCAACCAAGGACTGTTGGTCATCCCGTAAAATTAGTGTAGAGCTAGACACCACCCGAGGTGTGCATGTACCATTCCGAGCTGTTACTGACATTGCCACTGGGGTATGATGCCATGGTCACAGAGGAAGTCTGAACAACACGGGGCTTTAAATTCGTTGGGAAGGAAGGAGGCGATGGGGAAGCATTATCGATTGCGATGGGTTGTCGACTCTGCCCACCGCAAACACTTACTCTGCTTCCGCGTTGAGAAAAACCTTACGCACAAGCCCCCAACCTCTCATCGCCCATGCTCCTGCTAGACTGAGATGTCCCCCCCATCTCCACCTTTGCTGGCTTCAGGTTGAGGGGGAGCTCGAAGCAAGGTTACTAGCTTCCAGTTCGAGTGTTATTGGGTGCCTCAGAGAAGAATATTCAAAGCCCATGTGCAAGGTAGAGCGGAGAAGCCTGTGAGTTGAGGAGCAAGAGAGAAAGGCTGATGAAGCGCAGGAAGAGGGCCAAGGGGTGTACAAGACCGAGGGGATGGGGATGCGTTGCTCAAAGACAAAAATAGCTATAAGAGTTGGTGCAGAGACACGTCTGTAGCCATAGACATGTGTAGGTCCTGAGCCTTGAGAGAGCAGAGTTTGTGACGGCCTTGGCGGGCAATCATCATAGTAGAAGGTATGTCCACATGGCCAGGCAATTCCGAATCCAGAGCCTGGTGTCCATAGCTAACTGTCCGTGGAAATGTCTAAATGGCACTAGTCTGCTGTGGATATCAGTGTATGGGTAAGGAGGGATTGTTAAAGGCAAAGGCTCATGGCCCTGCACTCGCAGTCTGTCCAACTCCTTTGAAACCTATTCAGCTCCTCACTTTGTTGCAGTTTGTATTGATACATGAGGAATAGGCTGGGCCATTGAGTTGCGGGGGGCCTGTCGGCATGGGGGAAAGAATCCAAGATGGTAGAGCTTGTTCGGGTTAGGCGCACACCCCTCTTAGGAGAGATAAGATTGATCGCATCTTATCACCCCAGCGCTTATTTCCGTGTGGCCTTGGCCTTTGTCTTCGATCATGACGACGTACTGCTCCAGAGGATTTCGGGTTACTCCAGTAATAGTAGCTTCACTTGAAAATAGCAGTACTCGAGATTGCAAGACCAGATGGCCCTTCTTGGTAATCTTGGCTGGAATGTTGAAACCCTCGAAAGACGGTGTTATACTGTTTTACTAAAGTACCCTTACACATACTCCCCATCATTTCGTCCTTTGAAGCACCTCTCAGACATCTGAAATACGATGGCCACTCAAGAATTATATGATGTGAGAGCAAAAATCTAGGGCTCATCATGACCCATTGGTTATTCACACTTGTCAGACTCGAACCTACATCAACATTCCTATGCCGTCGATTCCAGTCCCTTATTGCGCCATTTATCACCAGTCAATCTGCAGCAAACAGGTTGGAAGAGGTATACCCCGCGTTATGTCAGCCACCCACGGTCCACCGTGCGGTGAGGTCCAACACCTGTTTTTGCAGGCTCCGAGAGACTAGATTTAGCAGTAAAGAGGTACAAGTCTCGCCTCGCCTCGCTACGGTGGTTGAGTCCGATCTCAAATTCAATCACAGACTTTACAACGGATATGCACATCAAATTGCAAGGCACTATGCAAGCCGTTCTGTTCATGCATTCGACATCGAGGACACCTCAAACCCATCCAGTTGGCCGGAATTAGGGATCGACACGGGTAACCCCTGGGTAGCTGGGGGCCTACCCTTACCCTTACCCACAGAAACCCGTACCCTTTGTGCGGGTTGCGGGTAGCGTCAGGGGTTACACGGGTTGCCGCGGGTACCCCAACCCGCGGGTCAATCAGCAGGGGTTATAGCATTTTGACCAGCATATAACTCGGTCAATACTGGTCCGTTTAGCGTCGGGTTAAATGCGTTCGAAAGGGGCGATCTCTAGCTTTCGAACGGTGTATAATTTGAAGCATTTATAGGTCAAAGAGGGATTGATCGAGGCCAGTACATTTTATCCAATGTGTCCCATCTGCGTTTATGGGCGCTCTTCCTTATTTCCCAACCATTAGGGATGAAAATTACATACATTTGTAGCTGTCATTTTTACGCTTCTAATGGTACCTCTTTCATATATGTCGGCCCAGAAACAAGCCCGCAATTGACTTACGACTAAAACCAAGATTTTTGGCGCTTATTGCAAAGTTTACCCGCCAACCCGCCGCACGGGTCGGGGTAGGGCCTCGGGTTGTCATGAACCAACCCTTACCCTTACCCGCCCTACCCTTACCCGCCTACCCCACGGGTTTTGCCTACCCTTGTCGATCCCTAGCCGGAATCAAGTCAGCACGGGACGAGGAATGGTATGGATGGTGATGCAGCGGGGCAATTGGATTTGGAGTAGGAAAGTAATGGTTGTGTGTTGGAGTTATAGCTCTCTTGTTACCAAGCGGGGCTGTGGTAGGGATCGACAAGGGTAGGCAAAACCCGTGGGGTAGGCGGGTAAGGGTAGGGCGGGTAAGGGTAAGGGTTGGTTCATGACAACCCGAGGCCCTACCCCGACCCGTGCGGCGGGTTGGCGGGTAAACTTTGCAATAAGCGCCAAAAATCTTGGTTTTAGTCGTAAGTCAATTGCGGGCTTGTTTCTGGGCCGACATATATGAAAGAGGTACCATTAGAAGCGTAAAAATGACAGCTACAAATGTATGTAATTTTCATCCCTAATGGTTGGGAAATAAGGAAGAGCGCCCATAAACGCAGATGGGACACATTGGATAAAATGTACTGGCCTCGATCAATCCCTCTTTGACCTATAAATGCTTCAAATTATACACCGTTCGAAAGCTAGAGATCGCCCCTTTCGAACGCATTTAACCCGACGCTAAACGGACCAGTATTGACCGAGTTATATGCTGGTCAAAATGCTATAACCCCTGCTGATTGACCCGCGGGTTGGGGTACCCGCGGCAACCCGTGTAACCCCTGACGCAACCCGCAACCCGCATAAAGGGTACGGGTTTCTGCGGGTAAGGGTAGGGGTAGGCCCCCAGCTACCCAGGGGTTACCCGTGTCGATCCCTAGGCTGTGGTCCAAGCAAAGTCGTGCATGAACAAAAACAGGAAGGCCCCAAGCCCTTGCAAGTGTGAAAGGCTTGTATGGTACGACGTCGAGAACATGGAAAGTGTCGTGAACACGGTCAGCCCCTAGCCCCTATCTCACGCCCCTATTTTCGTTTTATCTTATCTTTTGATCTTTCATTCATCTTATCGCTTTAACCCCTATTTTCCCTTTGACTCCGTCTCGGCATGGACACTTTCTCTATGGCACGCTGCCTTGCTCTCCCTTTGTTACATTTCATCCTTCTCTGCTACAGGCGCTGCCTTATGCACAGCCTTTTGATACTTCTATTCATTCGTCTCCCCGACTCATTTCTATTGTATCCTTCTTCTTCGCGCTGCCTCGCGTAGCCTCGCTCGGCCTCGGGCGGTTTCCATTCTTCCCCTTGCTCTTCTCTACGCTGCCTTACGCAGCTTCGCGCGGCCTCGGGCCACTCTTTGTCATTCTATTATCTTCTTGCTTATTCACATCTCGGACTCATCGCAGCTACGCACATGTTTCGTAGAGTATATAAGCTAGCTAGTACGCTCTGTATTTCCTCAGCTTGACCTCTTCGTCAATTCATCGCTTAACTCGCATCTGTCCCTGCTCTCGTCTCTCGGCGCCTCCGCTCTTATCCGCTCTGCTGCCTCTGCATCTTATCTCGTCGTCGCTGATTGACTTCGAGTCTCATCTGCTCGTCTTCGTTCACCGTGTGGTGTTCGCCTCCGTCCGCTTAGGTCTTCTGACGTGCACTCCGCGACAGAAAGAGCTGTCCAAATCTTACATCGAGAAAGGGATTCGGGCTCTCTAGTGATCAGAAAAAAAATCAGCATAGTTTTCCTCACAGGAAAAGGTGCTACCCAAGAGGGAAAAGGCGAAAACAAATAAGTGCAAGCAGTGCAAGGCGATAAGCATGTATTAAGAGTGATCTAAGGAAATGGAAGGTAAGAACACCAAACCAGTGCAATTCGAACCGTGACATGTAAGAGCGTTCTCCAGCCGGAAAATCTGATCGCTTTCGCTGTTTCATTGATGAGGCTGTGGGTTTGGTGTTGTCGCGTATCACTGTGTAATGTTAAGCCCCGATCTTGTTGCTCTCTATCAATCCACCCACGAAGGTTGCACGTGACGTGTGCCTACATGTAGCTTGCTTCGCTTTGCTACAGTCATCGTGCGTTTAGCTCTACAGCCTGCAATTCCTCCTGGTTTAAAAAAAATGGGGAGCATTTGAAGACCATTTACACGTATAGCCACTGGCAGGATTCGAACCTACATGAGCGAATTAAACAGATTGAACTGGGTGACATTGTTTTCATCGCCGCCTTTCCATGTTGGCCATGGTGTCTGTCTACCCCCACTGCAGAACTCATCTAACAGACATGAAAACAGTCCCGCCTTGTGGTCACCCTTGGCTCAAAATTCAAAACGTGGAAATCAAAAATCAGTGAAATTCAACTCTTCATAATATGGAGCAACACAAGCAGGAATTGAACCTGCATCAACGAGGTAAATGAATTAAGAAATTCTTCAGTCGAACAGACCCCGTCGCCTTGGCCATTCGGCCATGGTGCCAATTGCGAAGGAGAAGCTGAACAACATAGACTGACAACGTCGGGCGGTTTGAAATCATGCCATGACTACTCGCTCCTCAGCTCATCGCCGCATCCTCGTGAACCAGGGGGCAACGAACTGGACTGGTCCACGAGTCCAAGGTACTGCTGCAGAGAAGGTGCTCACTTGTGAGAAGGCGAGTCGTGAAGGCGAGTCGTGAAACGCCATACGAGAAGGGCGAGGGTATCCCGTAACAGTGGTAGTAAAGATAAGTTGGTGGTCAGACGGATGAACAAGCGCCACCATTGGTGCAGTAGAGGGCGGAGGAAGCAATTAGGGACGCTGTTGCTAGGTGTGGAGATGAGGTAGGAAGAGTCCTCAACCAGCGCTATTAGCAAACTTTAGGACCACGAAGAGTGCTTGGCCATTTACGCTAGAAGGCCATTTTTCTGGTAAGTATTGGCAGATAGGGGTCATGTTGCTCGCGTCTGCCCGGGTTTCACCCATATCGTTTAGGTCGTTCGTTTACTGTGGCTTCATTGTGGAGGAAAGACTGACTCGCAGATGGGAAGAAGTTTCCAGATACTAAGAAGGCGTTTTAAAGCGGTACAATCTTGAGGCATGAAGACGGATCCCGGGCAGATCGGGACGTCAGGATGTTGGGACGTCATGACGGGAAGAAATGTGACAGACCAGTTGCGTAGCACCTTCCAAAACCGGGATAGTTCCTAGGTTCTCTATGTAGGCAAGGATAAGGTACAGCCCATCCTCACCTGATGGAGTGCCCATTGCCATCTCGCGGGTAGGTCTGAATCATGCATCAACTCGAACAGGGCTACATTTCGCCCGCTTCTGACCTGATTTATGCGCGCCTAATAGTCCACGATTCACCCAAAATGTGTAGAGCAAGGGCCGTTGACTCTCGAGCAAAGCGCGGCGCAACAGGAGGGGAAAGCACAAGACAGAGTGTTGGGTACACCTCGCATAGATTGATTGTATCTTATCATCCCGGCGCCTGTGGGTACAACTCGTCCCAAAGGTTCATGTACCCCACCCCGTTTGTGTGAAGACTGTGAACTGGGATACGAGAACCAATGTAAGAAAAAATCAGGGTGTTCAGCGAGCCCACAGTCACTGCTCATCTTCCTGCCGAAGCTGAAGAGCAAAGGTTTGTGATATCATTTCTTTCTCTCTTCAAAACAAGCCAAGCTTAGAACAAGCGCATTAAAAAACAACAAGATGCAAGGCCCTATCGGCACCAGCAGGATTAGAACCTGCATGAGCGAATCAAACTTTGGTGGGTAGTTAATAATTGGTTACATTGCTTGCGGCCTTGCCAGCTCGGTCATGGTGTCTTCCTCTCCAGAGCTTCGCTCTCAGTCACTCGATAGTCTCTGCGTCTGAATGTACATAGAGCCATCTGGACCAGAGGGCCAAGCCTTCCGGGAACGAGGCACCAGTCACGACCATCAGCTCTTTTTTGATTTCCTTTAGCTCGTCCAATGAATCAAAGTAAAAAATGAGGAGGAGAGCGCTATATCCTCTATACCGACACCAGCAGGACTCGAACCTGCATCGACGAGTTAATACACGAAATGATGTCCATTCGGTCTCGCCGCCTTATCCATTCGGCCATGATGTCGCTTACGGAGAAGATCCTAATAGCTTTGTGTCAGATATATTTTCTAGGAGTTAAGATTGCAGGGCGGTTCTACACAATGGTCCTACTACAGGAAAAGATGGGTTTGAAAGTCGAAGGCCTCGCCTTGCTTGAAACCTCTCGATTGATACCTCACGGGGGACTACAATAACAGCATGAACCATCTCAGGGCTCACTAAGGCGTAACCACACCGAAATCGCTATAAGAGAAGATTGTGGGCGAAAATCATGTGTTACATTCAAGAGACAGAATAAGGGTTGGCGTATCAACCGCAAAGGGCAAGCTATGAGCATTTGGTACGAGCGAGCACCAGGCATTGAGGGATCATCGAGAGCTTGGAAATGTCCGGGTTGTCGGATTTGAAAGGGTAATCGTATTGACGTCTTGAAATCGCGACTTAGGATCCACTCAAGGGGAAGCCTCGCATACCCAAGTTTCGCAGGCATAGGCTCTAGCTCCTTCGACATCATTAGAGCTTGTTGTAAGCATTGGATGCCTTGGGTCGAATCGATTCGAAAAGCCACCGAGATGTCGAGTACAAGGAAGGTGGTCAAGGAGGATGCATCCGCGCAAAGCTGAGGTCGGGACAGATAGAGGGATGAGGAAGTCAGAGTGTGGTGGAGCGAGGCAGAGAGAGAACGCACCGCAGCTGTGATCTGGCTTTTCCACTCCCGTCTCATGCCATATGCGGACCCCTGCGTCCATCCCATCTGTCAGGTTCTCTCTTGAATCCCTACGAAACATGTCAGGAAAGAGGCACGAGGTGCGTAACGCCAACACGTGGAAATCGCAACATCGGAAGGGATGACGAGCAAAGATTACGAATTGAAACACTGGAGACTATGTTGAGGTATCATAATGGCGCAGTTCACTAAGGCGCAGCTTGTAACCTCTCCGGTAGGATGAACCCTCACTTTTTGTTCGCTATGCAGGAGGTCCCAACCGGAAGCGACTGGGGCTAGCTTTCTTGATGATTCAACCTGACCGAGAGGAGGGCCCTGAAGTTCTTGAAAGAAGATGAAGACGAGCTTTGTTGATTCTCGACTCCAAGTCTCGAGCGAAGCGTGAGCCAACATGAGGGGAAAGGATGAGATGAATGTTGGCCACAGCAGCTTCCGTTATCGGACACCTGGAGATAAGATTGATCTCATCTTATCATCCCGTCGGTTGATTCTGAGATTCACCCTCCCAAGGCTTCTCGATCCAAGCTACGGATCTCTTCAAGTTTCCTGTTCTATCATGGTTTATTCTTATAAAGGCCTACGTATCCATATGCTTCACAATAGGAGAGAGACAAGTATCCCAAGGACCCCGGAATATAGGGGAGACGGTCAGATCTTGGGAAGGCCCTTCGTGTCCGGCTTGATTTTCGGGATTTTTGTCCGGATTCGATCCAACCACCCCCCAAAACCGCCACTTTTGTCCGGATTCTCGATCTAAGGTCAAAAAAACCGCTTTTTCTTGAATAAATCCCATTTTTTCGCTCATTTTCGCTTCCCAGAGCGTTTCTGGGTGTTGTGCGAAGTCGTAGAAAATATTAAAGCAGGTATTTAACGAGTTACAGGTCACAGAATACAGTAAGTCGTATGGTCTGACCTAATGGTCGACCTCCATCTCCGTGTCGGCTTCATTTCTTTTTCGAGATTTGAACTGTTTGAGCGAGGCGTTGAGAGCTATGGCCTGTGATGCAAAAAGGTGAAAGTAGATCATATGAGCGTCGTCCAAGAGCAAGCTGCCGTCGCGTTGTGGCATTACAGCCCGTGCGGGGAGTACCATCAAGAACTGGAATGGAGGAATGAAGGTAAAGAGATGAGTGCCGACCAGTGCTGCTGAATCCGGGACGTGCGTGAACGAGTTCCTGTGCCTATTCTGGAATACATGGAGGCCCAGATACGAGACTGCCGATATCAACGAAGTATCCGACACCGCCGCATGCTTGCCATTTTTACCGGCAGTCTTCGAGTACATTGTGACGACTGCAGGATGAACAGATACGTTAGTCTGTTGACAAAGACGACAAAAGACACATACCACGTCCTAGGAGAATGGAATCCTCAGTGAATATGATACCATAGTCATCTAACTGAAGTGCACGAAGTGGGGTGACAAGGGCATCTTTGGCGATGTCAAGCGCTGAGGCTGCGATGTTTCCTTTCTTGAATGCATTTACTCGTTTGGTGTGTGCCTAGGACGATGGTCAAAGCTAGAAATACAGAGTTTTCCATTCAAACTCACCTGCTTTGACAGCGCATCCGCCGTCAGGACGGCATTAGCTTCATTACCTGCAGATGGCAGTGGAGCTAGCTTCCCATCGACCATCCCATCGCGCCCTCCAGGTGCAGCTGATCGCCAGCGCTCCCAGCGTTCGATTCCTGTGCCGACACCACGCTCACCCTGCTCGTCCTTCAGTATTTTGATCATTTCCCCAGCAATTTTCCGCTTGGTGCGTTCTATGTCGGAGACGTGAGACGGGGCCGATTTACTAGTGCGAACACCAAGTGCTGCTTGACGGGTTTCGTGCTGACGGCGCAGGGAAACAAGCTGGTCGAGCTGGAGCTTTGTTGGACCTTGACGAGGAGCCATTGGGGGCCTAGCGGATACTTGAAGTGCTGTGGCACGAGCACGAGCTTCCGAGTCAGCTTGGGCCAGGTGTTGGCGAAGCAGGCGAATGTGGTGATGCTCTTGCTCAAGAAGCTCCTCGTACTCTTCAGAGGACATCTCAGAGAACTGGAATCTATAGTTGGGATAAACGGGTTAGAATGCGAATGATGGTGTGAGAGGGTGATCAACATACACTTTCATCGCCTCGTCCGTCAGAGTCGACATAGCGGCAAAGGTGAGCCGTTCCATTTTCTCTTCTGTTGCATTTGAGCGAGAGACTGGGGCATTGGCATCAACCTGCAGAAGGTGGCGGAGGCGATCACTCCATCCAAAGGTGGTGCCTTCTTCGTCGTCGGATTGGTCGTCATCGGAATCCCTGTCTTCAAACCAAGTATCACCAGGTGTCGTGTCGTCCATGATGTCCACGAGCTCTTGATGGTACCATGCTGGAAGTGAGGGGGATTGGATTTGCTGCGATTGCGCCATTGTTCTTCGAGCATCGCTGGAGAGATTCTTCACAAGGAAGACTTGGGTAGCATGTATCCCGAGTAGCTCGCTCAAGCTATCGGACTCTTCTGCTGCTTCGTGAGCGAGGTCAGAGAAATCGTCGTCGCATGGAAACTGTGCAAGTGTTAGGTAGCTAATACCACCATCGTCGAAGTATGTGTGGTTGTATCCGGACGCCCTGGCCTTAGGGTCCGAGGTATGGGCATAGAGGACGGCCTCTCGAAGCTTGACGCGTAGCCGCGGCACCATGAGGATGAAATCGAAATATGTGAAGTCTTTGATGAGCTGTCTGGCTGAGCCAAACGTGTGCTCGCAAGACTCTGAGGAATGAAGCCAAGGAAGCAGAGGTGAGATACCATCGATGTAGTCACGATGTATCACGATCAAGGCAAGTAGGCCCTCAATCAAGATATCGAGAATATCGCGAGCTTCGCGTGAGAGATGATGACGAGCCTTGTTATAGCCTGTCACATCGAGATGGGCATCCCACGTGTCAAGGAAGTAGCGTGCTCGAAGAACTAACTTGACTCGCTCTCGGTGGCTGAGAGACCGGTTCTGGAAGGCGTCGATCAGCTCGCCGAAAACAAATAGGAAGACAATCTCCCCCAGAGAGTCCTCCAAATGGTGCTCCAGCAGGTATTGAAGGACAGTGGCTGAGAAGAGGCGGCAAGCCGCATTGTCATCCTGGCGATCGAGTTTGACAACATCTCGTGGATGGATTGGTGTCCCAGCCTCCTCAGCAAGTTGCCGAATGTGGCGATAAGCAGCGTAAGTGTTGCCGAGGGTGAGTAGGCGTGCTCCTGAGAAGAGGTTGTTTCGTAATGTCTTCAGCGCATGTTTGGAGTCCTGGAGGATCGCGATGACATGGTTCCGATACTTCACAAACCGGAAGGTCGTGTCAGGCCGGTTGGAGTTGGGATTCTTGATGACGCGAACCATAAGCTCTCCTAGCTCAAGGAGCTTTCGTTCAATGGCCCTCTCCGTCTCGGTACCATCACAAGCATAGGAGACCACCTTGATCCCCTTCTCCGCAAGTCCGTCAAGAATCTTGACAAGCAGAGGGAAAAGATCATCGGCACTCATGCTATCTGAGATAGGCAGAGCAGCGACGATGATGGGTGTCACCTTGGCCATTGGCAAGGTTAAGCACCATAAGCGAACCTAGTAACCATGAGACACTGACAGGAGACACACTCATTATCTACGTACCTTGGTGGCTTTCTTATCCTTGTTTTCCGCAAGCACTTTACGGACCTGCTCGGGGTCGGCAACCCGAAGCTTCCCTTCTGTCCCCCCAACCAAGTAGTGGCAGTCCTCCGCCTTGTCGTGATAGAGGCGGAACCCACTGAGTAACTTGGTGTCGTCGCAGCTGAGCCCCACTGGGCAGTTGGGACCAGTATAGCCAAGGGTGTTGAGCTGGTCAGCTACCATTTGAAATGTTTGTTCACCAATCTCCATTGGAAATCGAGGCTCTCGAGCACGCTTCATACGGAACGACCGCCCTGTTGGAACACGGATGTGCTTGGAGAGTGATTCGTACGCCTGAGGGCTGACGTCGCGAAGAATCTGGCACATCTCCTCCCATGCTGGGTCATACTGGAAGTTCTGCATCCCAACTCCCCGCTCCTCGCGATCTAGCTGCGTTGCCATTGCAGAAATTATCCCTGCAAAAACCTCCTTGCCCTTCAGCTTTCCATCGAGATACGCCTTTGCAACACGGACGCATGGGGAGGATGCGTTCTTGGCCTCGAGAATCTCTTGAAGGCCATCATACCGAGCATAGAGCTTTCCAAGAAGGCCTTGCCGAAAACGGTGGGGTGTGTACTTGAGCTTCGTAGGATCTGTGCAGCGTTTTTTATTGAGAGCAACCTTG